TGCCATTGAGAATGACGCCGTACAACTTGGTAAATACTTACCAATGTTTCGGAGGAACGAGATTCTTCCATCTTTAGGGTAGAAGAGTGAAACTACAGCTCGTCATATCCCTGCAAAACCGTAATCTTCCTTGCCATCTCTGTGAGACACTCAAAGCTCGTAATCTTCTCTGAGGAGACTTCCCAGCACTCATCTTCCCTGAAGACTGAAGCAGCAGATGCCTTCAAATTGCTGTTAGCTCTCTCCGTTGTAGTCTCACTTCTCACATAACGACAGAAACGTTGGTAGCCATCTACCAGACTCTACGGCGTCATAACCCAGATGATAGCAATCCAAATTTATTCACGGTACAGCCTTCTGGAAAGAGCTGGGATAGCGGAGTCGGTATACGGACTGACTACGGGCCGGATTTCGAGTCCCGGTGGGGGCAAGAATTTTCTCTTCTTTACAGAGTCCACACAGTCTAGGGAGCCCTCCAAGCCCCCTATCCAATGGGTACCGGGGGCTGTTTCCCCGGGAATAAAGTGAACGGGGCGTGAAACTGCCCACTCACCTCCAACTAGTGGCGAGGTAAAAGAAATATGGATCCTTACAGCCACTCCCACATACGCCTTCATGTCGTAGTGCTTAATTCGTTGAGTACAGAGGCTTTACCTTTACCTTCTGGACTGTAACGCCGTGTATGTCGGAGAGTTCAACGTCTCGGAGGAATATAGCGCCACGATCTTCAGCATCGGAAAGTCAGTCAAGAAATAAACAGGCGGTCAGATACACTCCACACTCACTGGCGTGAGGAAATCATCTCTGACATAAAATTGTCAGTTATCTCAGATGTGACGCTTCTCCCCGTATAGGCGCGACTGATGGTTGTACTGTGTTTGTGATATCGCTATAGGAGTTACTGTATTACAGGAAGCAAGGTACAGAGTGTGACGAAAAGATAACTCATTGTACACACGTCTTTTAATTTGTTGCAGCAGTATTTACATTTATTAAAAAAAGTAACTATTTATAAAAGTGAAAAAACCTGTACAAATATGAAAGACTGCTGGTAGTAACAGTATGACACAGAGATGGTGAAATATATATTTTTTTTACATTTATATATATTTTTTTAATTTCACCCCTTCCATGTTAAAAATTGGCAAAAGAAAACAAAACGAAAAAAATGAACTCTTAATCTTCAACAAATGTAACTTACACATGCAGTATTAAAAGAAAATGAAACACAATGAAAATATTTATAGATGTACACTACAATTAATGTTACTGACATATCAAGTATGTTTACTTCATCACGGCAGTAGCTCATCACTTACTCTGTCTAATTAATTGGCAAACTGATTCCTTCTACAGTATTCGCAAAGCTATTATGGCACTTCCTGTTAAATAATTTACATAAACATTACATTTATGAAAGGAGTATATGGCATATATACAGCGCATTCGTAAGGTCTCACAAGTAAAACATCATGCATTAACATAGCATAAAACTGTTTCCAAGTTTTCTTTGTTCTCGTAAATATTTCACATATATTTTTTATGTTTCGTTTTGCCTGTTACTTTGTGTTGTGTCATCGTTTAGTGTATTTGTTTCGCGACTTTATGATCGCCCTGTATTTATACGATATACGAATTAATGTCGATTTGACTGGATATTAATAGTCTGAGTAGCATGCCACGGAATGCAATCATAGTGCCGTAAAATAATCAGCACAATTTAGAATGAGCAAAATTTACCTTGAGGTAAAGATAAATGTATCTTTATTGTTTGCATCTTGTTGTATTTTATATATCACCATATTCTTCAATAGTGTATAAATGTTGGTTTATGACAGGCCTATACAATGAGAAATATTTTACTTGAAACATATTATCATCATGGAAGCTATTTCAATATAAAGTTCACATGTATTGCCAAAGATAAGTAAATGCATCCATGATGATTCATTAAAAGTGAGCCTTGATTTCATGTAATAACATACGCCGGTATAACTGAACCTCAGAGTTGCATCCTCGCTACATAAAGCACTTATCAGAGCTCACATAACCCATCAGTTTGCCAAGTTCTTTTGTAAAAGATTTTGAATGAAGGAACATGTTCTGCATACAAAATTACATATTCTGTAAATTCAAAACCAAATGTTCTGTACAATATAATCTGTAAATTCAAAATCACATGTTCTGGATATCTAAAAAAATAGTATTAAAGTAATTAAGTATATTAAGTGGAGTAAAACAATCTTAAATAGATATTTGTAATTTATGGTTTTGTTTTGTTTTTTACTAATACCAGTTACATTTGAAAGGAAATAACATATTCAAAAATATGATGGAACTTTCATAAAGTCACATTTCCCGTTTCTTAAGGACAAAATATAAGGCTTGAAAAGGCCATGTCATTGCTCAGGCTGTTAGACACACTGACCTCTCAACACGGACACTCGGGTTTAACATCCGAATGTCTTAATGTGAGAGATTCGTGGACCAAGTAGCGCTGGAGCAGACATACTTTCCCGAGTTTCTTCGGCTTTCCTTACTAATCAGTTTACCATTGCTATATACTTATCTATCACCACACAATAAGGTATGCAATAGCCCTGATCAGGCAGCACATTATCACATCCTTAGCCTTTATGGTCTGGGCTTCATCTCTGGACAGGCTGGTAAAAGAGTAGGGAAGTCTGTTTTATAAGATTTACGCACCTAAATATTGGGTTTCCTTTCCAAACATTAAGTAGACTGAAATACACTCATAAAGAAATATTTGTAATTTAAATCATTTTAAAAATACATATGTCTTTGTACTGACAGATTTGAAGGGAAGTTATACTTGCAGAAATATGATATTTTTATAAAATTACATGCCCCTTTCCTTGGGGACAAAACAATATGCTTGAAAAGTCAGGCATTATTCCTCCACGTCTGACTCCAAGTGTTTAAGTAGGTACTACAGGATTCTGTAATAATCACACATCACAGGGTAAAGTGGGGCAAAAAGGCGCATTTATCACATCTGAATTGCCTGCTGTTTTTCATTTGTATGACCTTCACAATACTGGCTGTTAATCAAAAATACCAGTGGGTGAAAGTGTTCGTTGCTCGAAAATAATTAATACTGATCCCCCGTTTTAGTTTCCAAGGCCGTCTGAACAGTAAATATGCAGTTCTGCCCAGCATTACCCTAAGTATCCAATAAATTATAATTGACAAATGATTGTTTCAGTTTCTTTTAACACATCGTTTTGAAAGAATAGCACAATATACAAAGAAGGTAGAACTCACACTATGAAGCACATGCAGCTATAATATAGAAACCAGGGATAGGCGAAGATAATGGTTTTGGTCATTGTTAATCCTTCATCATATAGACCTGGCTTCAATCTAATCTATTCTAGAACACACACAGGAGAAGATGAAGTAAAAGAAAAAACAGCTACATGACTAGGACATAAACTTAACACATAAACTCTAATCAAAGAAAAGGAAATAATAATCATAATCAGAATTCTGAAATGTCCACAACTGTAACTTTACAGAGATCAATTGGAAAAAGGACAGTATTATTGCCATTAACTTTTTAAAATTTTAATGGCAAATAAAAATCACAGAGACGCTTTGATGCGCGGAGATTCCATGGCAGTAATGGTCATGACAACACATCAGCACTGTTTGTAGGAATTACTCAAGTTCTGTGTCTTAAGACGTTAACAATACTACTCCTTGCAGGATGAGATGGTGTATTCGCTCGAATCTAGAACTCACCTTTAATAGGATGTGAGATACTAACCATCTGTTGTATCAACAAGCTGAATATTCTTATTTCACTGAAATTTATAATTGACCGAAGCTGCAACCAGAGTGTGCTTGATGCGTCTGTCATATGGCTTCCGCCAAGGGATCTACATTCTCTTGTCACAGTTGATAGCTTTGATACATACATAGCTTTTATATGATTTAATCCTCTTAAAATATATGTTCTTATATTTATATTATATATAAACTTATTCTTAGGAAGCTTATTTATATGCAAACATTGTGTAATTTTACAATTAAAATCACACCATTGTTTTGGCAGTTATCTGTGTTACGAAATTATTGACAATCAAGTTGTTATTCTAGGCCTTGATTTGTATTGTAATGCATTACGTCATATTAACTTCCAACACAATCGCTAAATCCATAGTCATCTAATTAGAGTACAAAAAATAATAGCAACAAAAGCTATCATTAGTGACACTATTTCAAGTTCTAAATAACTGGTGTTGATTTTTTTTCAAAGTTTAAAATTTTTTTCCCTTAACCGCATGGCATACAGATTAATGATTTTGCCTACTCAGAGTAGGAATACTTTATACAAAATTATGTAAAAAACATCTCAAAATGAAAACCCAAAATCCCAAAGTTTTGTATAGATCTACATTAAACTACATCTGATGTAAAATAAACGAACTATTTTGACTTTTATCTGGTGACATTTCACAGCCGAAAATGTTATTGCCACCTGATGGGATGGACCACACTCATCCGTCAAAGTATGCCAGCAGGTTAATAAGAACACTAGTACAAAATACAATTAATATGGATCAACTAGATATTTTCTTTTTTTGACAAGATGAAATAATACTGAACAGACTATGTTTGAGCACTTTTCTACCTATATTGCTCAGAGAGGGTTTTGGTTCATTCAACAGTTCCTCTTCTATCTACAATAGTCAACTATAAATGTTTCAACAAGTATTATGTTTTTGGACATTAGCCATTGTCTTGTCTATATTAAAAAATCGTCCTGTTTCTCTTTCAAAACACAACGTTTCGAAGACTGGATTCTGTCCCTGTCCTCAGGTAAAACCTACTCAGTTGGGTCCAATATATAGAGCTAGCCCGTATCTCTGGAAAAGTTCTATCTATTGGACCCAACTAAGTAGGTTTTACCTGAGGACGGGGACAGAATCCATTCTCCGAAACGTGTTTTGAAAAAGAAAAACATGACGGTTTTTTAATATATACAAGACGATGGATAATGTCCAAAAACATAATACTTGTAGTAATATACCATCGCCACAAACTTTTAGAGCTTATATAAATGTTTCAAACTGTACACATGGAATAATTCAAACAAAAGTAAGCATGATGGAAATGGGTATATTTTAGTGTCATTGAACATTTATGTTTTACTTGCGTTATTTTTGGTAGCAATTAGTCAGGAACTATCACTTAGTTTTATTGCATCAAACCAGTAAAATTGCAACTTCTTGAGCAAAAAACCGAACTTCCGATGAATGACGTAATGACATGCTTTTTTTTTCGTTCCGTTTGAGACCTGCCTTTAATACACAAAATATTGTTATAATATGGCATTTTGTAATAGCAGCATGGGAACATATATACAGATAAAATCTTGATGAATTCTGTGTGAATGAAATGGCAGGTGGAGGACACATTGATGCAACCACAGAATATTATTATATTAGAGATTAAGGTTTGGCATCGTATCTGGCCTCCCCCACATCTCAGAGCCACACAAGGTTAACTACTCTACCTAATAGAGATCATTCGAAAACTTTATAGTAGCACAGAAAATTGTGCACCAGTGTATAACTTCACTGTGTAGAACACAATATATTTAGAAAATATAAACACAAATCATTATGTAAGGATAAAAATATCTTCCCCAATAATAAACACAAAAATATAATATTGAATTATTAATATTACGATTATTATTATTGTTATTATTGTTATTATTACAAAATTAAATCTGGAAACTAAATTCTCTAACACACTTTCCATTGATACACAAACTTATTCCTGAGAGAATTATAGTGTACAGGATGTTTTCCAACAATATTGTCCACATTTAAATTATACAGCATTCATGTGGTAATCACCCTGTACATCAATCGTTACAAAAAAAAAAGAACAAAAAGAAATTCTTTAATGAGATCATTGTTTGATTATCAGGTAATTTCTCTTTGGAAATAAGACAAAACACAAATGAAATAAAACAAATTAATAAACTACACTATATACTCCACAAAAAATCACACATAACATCGAAATTTTAATTACTTCAACTAATATTTACTACAAACAGAAAAAAATGACTGATTTAAAGATAAACATAACTGTAATGTAATGAAACAGTGTTTGTGATCCTCTGTGGTTCACCAGCCACTGCTGGCCAAGAAGCGCCAGCCCACCAAAATGATTACAGCGGTCCACACGGGTCCTCGAAGTCGCGACGGCAGCAGCAGGGACAGAAGACTCTCCTCCTTCTTCGTGTTATGGAGGTGCCGGGTTGTCTGGGGCCCTTCCTCCTGCGAAAACGACAAGAGCAAATCATAAAGCATCTTGCGTTACAGTTGGCACGAGAAAAAACGAGGTTCTCATGGAAGTCATTATGAAAATGTAAGATTTGAGGTTTTCACGGCGGTGACTATGAAGAAAGCAGTCTTCTGGGATGTGACACCGTGTAGGTGTGGTGTTAACCGACGTTTCGGAGGAACGTAGCGCCTCCATCTTCAGGGTAGAAGGAAAAATAAGAAAATCCGCAAGCGAAGAGACAGTGAGAACCGGTGCAAGCAGCTTTCTTCAATATTAAAATGGCTGTTTTCTGGTATGTGACATCTTGTACGAGTATTGTCTGTCTAAAACATCTCGTCATACCTCAAACAGACAACCTAACGGAAGAAAAGTCAACGATACCTTCGGCCACTACCGCATACAGTTATTGAATTTTTGGACATTACCCATCGTCCTGTCCAAAAAGTCCATTTTATTAACATACCATCCTCACAGACTTTTATATCTTACCTCCACCGCATGTTCGAAACGGAATAGTAACTCTCTAATGATGACGTAACAATCTATATTATCTGACGATGACGCAACGTCGAACGTGTTTTAGACACAGTATAGTTTGGTAGATCATTAGTAACCTTTTGTAGGTTCCTTCTAAACCTTGGTAACGACGTACCAGAATAAACGGCGTCATGTCCCATAAAGGAGTAATCTTAAGAACAACAAAGAATTGAAGGAACGAAAGAAGGGGGAAAGGACGAACATGGGAAGAAACATACTTCTGAGAAAGTGATAAAGCAAGCAAACACGAAGTAAGGAACAGAGACGATAAGAAAGAAACGATTACAGATCTTCTGTACTTAATGAAAAGCAATGAGAATAGAAGTTCTGGTTATGGCGAACAGAACACATTCATAAGTTCTTACTTCAGAGGGAATTCTTGGTGGTCAATGAACCGCTGTAAGTCAGTTAGAGAAGCAGGAAAAAGCAATAAAATAAATATCTGAAAGGATAAGAAGAATAAGAAACGGAAGTCATAATACGATGATCAACCGCGAACCTCGAAATTCATCACCCACCCCACAACCTACAATTCGACACCCTGCTACGTATCCATTTCCTGGCCGGTGCCCATTTTACCCCACCTTCCCCTACAATGAAACTGTATCGCAGAAACCACACAATGCCCCTCCCCCCGGCCATCCAGCCTTACCCTTGGCAACAATAAAATTCATAGACTTGCTACTTGGACATTAACAGGGTCGACCAGTGCTGCCCCCTTGCCTATTAATAATGAATTACGACAACATAACGACGAAAACAAGTGACAGTAACAATGCTTCATCCATAACCTCAGGCCACAGGCAGGAATAAATAAAAGTAACAGTAGTGTAGCTCTTAATGACGTGCAGTTAGCCCACTGGGGCAAGTTATTAGGGCAGCATAAACAGGATTGATTGCTATCTTATATTATTAAATATTAAATAGTTCTATCTCCTGGGATATAGCGCCGCGTAGTGCGTTGAAAGTCAACCGACGTTTCGGCAGAACATGTCGCCTCCATCTTCAGGATCGAATAATAAGCTAAGCGAGAAACCAAGGCGAAAGCAGGTTGCAAGGAAGCCAAACGTCATTTGATTTTCAACGAGACTGCACGACGTTATATCCCACAACTCTTCATAACCACCGGTGTCAGAACCTCAAATTCTACATTGTAAAACGCGCTTCGTGTTTATTAACTTCAAGTTATTTTTTTAATTACTAGTGCTTATATCATGTTGCCGAACTCAGTGGCCGCGCGGTCTAAGACATGAACCGTCTTCGTCCGCTCGAATACTGGAGTCGTTGGTTCGAATCCCACTCGAGGCATGCATGTCTGTGCGTTTATTCTGTGTTTGTATTGTTCTGTGTATAGGTAGACGCCTTGCGACGTGCTGATCCCCAGTACATGGAGTCCTACCGACTATGCATAGGATCAGAATACTGAAAAAAAGCGGGCAACGCCCAATGGCTGTAGAACCATAGACAGACAGCTACATCATGTTGGAAGCTTCTATTGTATAAAACACATTCATAGCAAAAAATTATCCTGAAAAAGTTAAATAGTAAAATTGATATGATTATAATTCTCAAAATATCAGATCGATTGTTTAATTTCAATTATTTGTAAAATCACGATAATTATTATAAATCGATAATCATAAACTGTATTGGGGCTGTCTATTAACTACAACCCATAAGACAGTACAATCCAAGTTTACATTTTAATATCGCTGTTTTTAGTTTACTGCTATGTAACTTCTGCAACCGAATAAATAAACCCAATCTGTGAATCAACCCTAAACCGAAATTCTCGGTTAAACTCATTAATATACAAATATTCTTTCATCTTAGATGCATACGCTTAACATCCCATCATTCAGTATTTCTATACAAGTCTTGGAGCAACCGTTGGCCATAAATACGACGACCCCAGGGCAATGAGGAACCGGAAACCGCCAGCAACATGAAATACATGTAATTTCCGCCCCAAGCCTCACAGTACGTATTTGAATCCATCCCTTCTGCAGAATGGAAGTGATACTATAGTTTTTACGATATCCCAAGTCGATTGCAGACATCTCGATACAAGACTCTTACTTCTCGCTACTTCGGATGTATCGAAATGCGAGAAGTCACGGGGAAGCTTCGTGGAAAAGTGACATAAGGCAATTAGTTGTCTGTAAATGTTATAGCTTCATAAAAAAAACTGTATTTGTTTGGCAGGTTTTCGTATTAAAATTGGTGATCTGTGAATGTAAATTGGTAAGGTTTAATACAGGTGGTTTCGGAAAATGTGGCTGCGGCAGGCTCAACATTTCGGAATTCGCGACTGCACAGGTATATTTTATTGCTTACTGTAGGTGTAGAGAGGCTGTAAAGCTATTTAGGTTCCTGCTGTCACCGTACAGCCTGATAGGGACCTGCAACAGTGTGCAGAACTGCACTTTTCGTGACGGTACAGGAACATTTCATAGCTTTCTGTAGGTACAGAGAGGCTGTAAAGCTATTTAGGTTCCTACTGTCACCGTACAGCGTGATAGGGACCTGCAACAGTGTACAGAACTGCACTTTTCGTGACTCTACAGGAACATTTTATAGCTTTCTGTAGGTACAGAGAAGCTGTAAAGCTATTTAGGTTCCTACTGTCACCGTACAGCCTGATAGGGACCTGCAACATTGTGTAGACCTGTACTTTTCACCGAGTGGAGGAGACTGTAGGGTGGGGGGGGGGGTCACTTAAATTCATGTGTCTTATTTTATGGGACGGCGGTATCACAAAGTGTTAGAATCCCTGGTACACAGGGAAATTGGAAATAAAGTCTATAAAGAACTGTAAGAGCTCCTCCATCTAAAAGGACATTTTGATTGAGGAAACCTCATGCACATTAGAGTTGTTCCTTCTCGTTACTGATGTTTCAGGGCATTAATCCACGAATAAGACACATCCTACTTATGTAACGTCACGTAGTTCACTCATGACGTCGTCTTTCTGTACCTTCGTTTGCTGCTGTCCTGCGTACTGAAGCTCTGTGTCTGTCACAGAAATACAAAGGATCTACAACGTGCCGCGTCCCTCTCTCTCTCTGGAAAGCATCAAACAGGCGTCCCATAATCCCTACGCTTCCTGCGTATCCGCAACACAAGTTTACTACTGTGATAGACTTTTACGATGTAAATAAATTATTTCGCTTACGTAAGGTCTCGTAATTGTGAGGTTATGTTTGTCCTAGCACAACTGCGCCTCACGGCATCCAATTTGTAGATTCACAGACGTAACTTTACACCTCCCTCACTATAGCGGGGGGTGGTTGGGATTAAAAGTGATGAGCCCCCTGGGGGGGGGGGAAAGGATTACAGTTTGGATTTAAAGAAGGGTTGTAAACTCTTGAAAAATGTTTCCCTCCAGAATATCCCAGCCTACGCTATAGTGCTGAATGTGAAACGCTTTAGCAAACATTTGTGCGCCCATTCCTTCAGACATGTTCATGCGTTACCATGGGGACTGCGTAATGACGTAACGTGATGACGTATTACTGCGTATATATGTTGCATGCTGACGTCATGGATACGGCTGAACAGAAGAAACGGATACTAGATAAAGACCTATACGTTCCTGTAACTCTTTAAATATTTATCTCAGTGAAAGACGCTTCCAAAATAAGTTGTAGAAAACATGAAATACACATTTTATGCCAAATACATTTTTCCGAAAAAATCTTATCGAGATAATTATATAAGAACTGTCACGTCATGTGTACATTTCTAAACGTGTATATTCGGCAGTCAACAGTGGTCTTTCGAACATAGGCGAAGATAACTGAACAATTACAATGACTTTCCGAACACACGCGAAGATTACTGAACAATTACATTGACTTTCCGAACACACGCGAAGATTACCGAAGTGTTCTTTTCTCTGTAAGTAAACCCGGTTTCATATCACCTGAATTTAGAGATATGTACATGTGTGTGTATATATATATATATTTTTT